GTTGCGATCCGTTGCCGGGACATGGAAAAAAAAAAAGACAAAAAAAAAAATATATATATATATATATATATGTGCAATTAAAAAATATTCAGCGAATCCTACTTGGTAAGCAAAAATGCTAATAATGATAGGAGGGATCATAGTTGATTTTGTTTCTTTGTCTACCTGCAACTTAACTTTTTCTACAATAAATGGGCATTGCTTTAGTAATAAGAAAAAAGTCATTTAGAAAATTTGGGGGACTCATAGTAGTACCCATTTAGTGATAATCACCTTTCTCCTAACATGTGAATTTTATAGTATCCTGACTTGGATCATGGAACAGGAGCAATTATAATGCAATTTGGGCTTAGAAATGCAAATACGTAGTGCTCAGAATCAGTAAAGTGTCATATTTATTGCTGCTTTTAAAAGGACTGTAGGTGATACATCTAATATGTATTTATTATGACTTCTAAAATAGAAATAGGAAAAAGTACTATATAATAATGTTATAATTGAGGATCAAACTTAGTTCAAGACCCAAAGGGAAACATATTTTTTTTGTTGCAAGGAGAAGCAATCTGGCTCATTACCATATATACACACATATAGATACACCTATATGTCTGTGTGTATGTATATATATGTGTGCATACATATGTATTATTTTTTTTGTTGCAAGGAGAAGCAATCTGGCTCATTACCATATATACACACATATAGATATACCTATATGTCTGTGTGTATGTATATATATGTGTGCATACATATGTACACAAGTATACTCATGTTTATATATATATTATTTTTTAATCTCTGGAACTGAATTCTAAAAGATATTATGTGGCCCTTTTTCACAAGGAACATTAAATAACACAATGAACAATGTCTTCAGAAGCAGTTTTTCAGAAGGTGCTGCAATATTCTTTACATGATCATTTCTCATGTTGGCCTTCAATATAAATCTCAGCAAAGACAGTGAATGGAAATCCAGCCCTGAGCTGCGATGAACTGAACAAGGCCCGGGGGTGGGTGCTGGAGTGGCATGGCAGGTGGGGGAAGAAAACCTGATGCACTATTCTAGGACAAGGACTGGTGGAAGAGAAGGGTGTTAAAGAAAGGAGGACTTAGGAGGAAGAGAGAGCTTGGAATGAGATAAAGAGGAGAAAGGGGAGAATCTGGAGGCCAGGGAAACTGGGATAAATGTTCTCAGCTTGTAGGAAACCTCCAGTTCCCCAATATCAGGATCTCCTAATCCATAGGAGTGTTATTATCCTCATTCCAATCCCCTAAACTGACTCCTTGATATATAGGGCCTTCTTTAAGGGGGTCAGAGAAGTCGTCTGGATCATGACATTCCATGCAGGATATAAAATTGTATTTCTGCTTCAGAAGTTGCAAGGACACTCATGAAGACTCAGGAGGAGTCTTGACTCTTGACCCAAGGTCATTGGCCTGGTCACTTAGATTAATTTAAAGCAAACAATGGTAATTATACCTACAGAACTGATAATTGATCCAGATGAAGATAGTGCTAGCAATTTTACTGAAAATCCTAGTAATTTAAACAGAGCAATACCCTGATTTTTTGTGTGATAGCAGCTACCAAAAACCTATGGGAAGATGCTCAGTTTGAAAATTCTCAGGAATCAAAAACACCATAACTTGAGTTGAATGCACAGCTTTTAATTTCTATA